AAAAACCATGCGGCGGGATGTTTTTGCAGCAAGATACCGCTCTCTCTACATGTTATGTCAGCCTATGTCATTTCATGTGCTAGGCCTGAATATCATGTTATTTAGGTTTGGCTAGGTTAGATGAGGTTTGATAATGTCAGGCTATGCCGTGTTACGATATGTCGCGGCCTACATGCATTTTAAGGCTTAGTGGCTCGTATAAAGCACATTTGCCTTTTCTCAGGTGCCTGATGGCTTTCCGAAAGCCTTCCCCTTTCGCGGAATGCATTTCTTCGCTTCGATTGAGAAGGCGGGAGCCTCGGCGAGCCTGGGAATATTTCGAGTAGATGGTGATTGATGGCTGTATAGATTTCATTCAGCACGGGGCCGCTGCATGCATGTGCTGTGGCGTAATGATTATTGAGCCAATAGGGAAAACGTGAGTTGAGGGTTGAGGAGGTTGAAGGAGGATGGAGGAGTGGAAGGTCTGGCTAGACTTGATTGAGCCTGTGATACGTAAAAGGAGCTTGAAGGATGGATCACAGGTTTTGAGGGCTCAGGGGTCATGGTTGCAGACTGTGAGGGGCTACAGGCGAAGGATTCCAACGGAGCGTTGCAATGACGAGCTGGGATTGGTTAAGGGTTAAGGGAGGGAAAGGCTTCAGGTTGGAGTGCTTGTGGCCTTGGGGTTTCTGGCCTGAACCAGAACCCCGAAGTGGAAACTTCATATGCACCGGTATCTGTGATTTGCACGCACCGAAGCACAGGAATCGCCTTGAGCGACAAAAACCCAAGACTAAAGGATTTGAGCAGTTTGGGGTTTGGGACTTCGGGTTTTGATGTATCAAAGCTTGGGAGCCAAAATCATCACAGGCTAGAGGCTAGACGAGCAGTCTGGCTGGCACGGCATAGCACCGCCAAAGCCCGGTAGAGGTTCACTGAGTAGGAGAGGCCAGCTCCATGCACCCTTCTCGGAGGTTGACAGGCCATCGGGTTGGTTGCATTTCTGTTTGGAATGCAAGATTGCAGCTCAGGCCAAGAAGCACATGCCGTCATGGAAGCCCAAGTACAGCATGCCCCTCGGGCCTTGGGCATTGGGCAGAAGGGTATGTGACCTAAAACCCCAACTCTCTCTGTCTCTCTCACTCTCTCTCTCCCTCTCTCTCTCTCTCTCTGTCTCTCTCTCTCTCTCTCTCTCTCTCTATCTATCTATCTATCTATCTATCTATCTATCTCTATATATGTGTGTATGTATAGAGTAGCGATCGTCAGAGTCCTCGGCCTGAGCGATCCTACTGGGATTGGCTTGATCCGCGAAGATGCAGCTCCAAGCCGGATCGGATTCGGTTTGGCGATTTCGCATACCTTAGTTCAGGCAACTACTATGAGGAACCCAAGGAGCCCACCGACGCGGTTGCATATCAGAGATAATATATACAAGTTGAATTGAAGAGAACAAAGACCGTTATACATTGTCACATAATGCCAATTGGTGACACATGATAATATCTTATGGTGTATAAGGTATAAACAACATGGAATAGAAAATACAAGACAGTACAATACAGCATATAATAGAATAGAACAGAAAAGACTACATTAGAAGACGATAGAATAGATAGAACTGGGTGCAATGTTTCAATACAACATACTGTTTTATAATATAACAGATAACATAGTATATTGTACTATAGTAACTATGATAATACATGATAGTACAGCACAACATCATGTAATGTCACAGAAACGTAATATATTTTGATATAGTACTACATCGTATAAGATAATAATGATGCAGAAAAGCATGAAATAAAGCAACGGAACATATGGCAACATAAACATAGCATAATGTTTGATGATAACCATAACATAGCACAGTATGGTGTAATGCTCGTATAAGACAATATGTTTTGATCCCATATGTCCTGATATGTATACCGCAATATATGACCGACTGGGATAGAACAGAATAGACTCTATTCTGTATGCTATAATATATATATATATTTATATATATATATATACATACTGCTTTTGTCAGATGGGCTTCGGAAAAGAGGCCCGAGAGGCCATGGACTCTGGTGTGGTAAGTTGTCCCTTAGCTTTTCCCTGCGACTCACCCGAGGTCTTCCTGCGCCTAACACCTATACCTTCCTGGGTCTGCACGTCCACATGGTTTGCGAAGGAGGGCGTCCGCCATTCCGACACACTAAATATGGAATAGCAGTTTAAGGACTTGGGGACCCTTATACATTTATACAGTATGTAGTATGTATCATTAGTACAAATATGTATTGAATACGATATTTGTTTGCACTAGATATTTTATCAGAAAATAATACATCTGAATGAGCGCAGGTTTCAGGGGCTGAAAAGTTCCTATGCGCCTCGGCGAAGCACTCGAAGAGATGTCGCGCATCGATGGCTCTTTAGCAGCTGTCGTGTCTCCACTAAGTGTCGTCTGGCTGTAGCGGCGCATCAGATCACATTCAGCAGGGCTCACAAGATGCGGCTGAGCCGCCGAACCGAGAGTCATGAGCATCAACCACCGAACGACCACGATGGGCGTCACCTGTGCCAGAACCAGTAAATTCGGGGCAACCGATCCGAGCGAACTCGAGCATGCCTTTATTATCCCTCTGCTGTTCTTGCTGCTGCTTTGTTTTGATCATTAGCGGTGCAGGTTATTACACCGAATCTTGCATGAGACAGCTGCCCAACATTTGGCAAAATAACCCGCCGAACCTAGGCATCATGCAAGTTTGGCTGACTTCGGGGTCGAGCATCAACTGCGCAGGGCATAGTGCGACTTTCGGCGGTCACACCAACGAACCCAAATATCACGGCGCAGCGACAACAGGGTCTTTTGCAAGGTCGAGTTTTCTGATACATAGGCCCTTTTGTGTCAGGCAAGGTCTTCTGCTACACAGGGGGTCTAGGCCCTCTATATTTGAACTGAGTTGGCTTGATGTGGTTCACATACCGTCCGGACATTTGCCCTAGGTTGGCTGAATGCCTTCGGATTGAGCACCTTGTTCATGTTGGCCAAGGAGCAGGACTACCTGGCAAGGGGTTTCGACAAGAAGGATCCTGATTTCCGGACGGACGACCTGATTTTGCAGAAGGCACATTGGGCTGGCTGGTGCATGTTTGTCCTAGTGCGACCACGAAAGGTGCTGCAGGTTGCACCATGCATGCTTTAGCCGGCTTTTGCTGTGTGTACCGAAACTGCCAACAGCTGGACATGTGCAAGCGTTTGAGCTCCAAAGCAGCCGACTTCACTTGCCTTGCTTGGCTTGTTGCTAAGATTCAAAAGTGCGATGCCTGCAGTGGCATTTCGGCAACCTGGCAGGTGGGTGCGCCAGCATCTGGTGGCTCTGTCAGCTCTTCTGGGACATCAGGCAGATGTCCCAAAGGGATAGTGAACTGCGTGATTTCGCAAGTGTAGCCGAGCATTGCGTCTCGAGTATTCAGTAACGAAGCAGCACGAGTGATGCTTGAAATGACGACCAGGTGTGTCACCAGGTGCGCTGAAGTACTCCAGTGGCTTCGAGTACGCCTACCAGCGCAATTCCTATGCAGACCTGGAGTTCGGAAACGATGTTGGGTATCTACCAGATGGAACACCCCTCAACACAGCCGGCAACTGCCTGAACCACCCAGAGACCATTCAGCCCGATCGACACACCCCTGGGTCACCGCTTCCACGTGCACACTTCCACAACGATGTCGGCTACTTGCCCGATGGAACCCCGCTCAACAAAGCTGGCAATGCCATCAACCATCCTGAAAACATCCAGCCAGACCTTCATGTACCGGGCTCGCCGCTTCCGGCGTCTGGGTACTCTGCAGACGTCGGCTATTTCGTGGACGGAACACCTGTGGAGACTGCTGGCAACAACTTCCGCGCAGACAATACGGATTCGCCGAAGGCGCATTGGGCTAGCCGGCGCATGCTTGCCCAGTGGTCCTAGTGCGACCCCGAAGCGTACTGAACATGAACATGTATGCACCTCACTTATGCTTAGCCGTGGCAAGAAATGCCAAATCCCCCCACAACTGGACATTTGCAAGCATTTGAGCTCCAAAGCACGCGACTTCACTTGCCTTGCTTGTCTTGTTGCTAAGATTCAAAAGTGCGATGCCTGCAGTGGCATTTCGGCAATTTCGGCAACCTGGCAGGTGGCTGCGCCAGCATCTGGTGGCTCTGTCAGCTCTTCCGGGACATCAGGCGCAGCTGCCAGCAAGGGCAGTGCATGTCAGCGCCCCTATCAAGCAAGGGAGCAGCATAAGTGCATGTAGCAGCGCTTGTCAGGTTCAGCACCTGTTGCAATGAACGGCACGCTGAAGTACTCCAGTGGCTTCGAGTACGCCTACCAGCGCAATTCCTATGCAGACCTGGAGTTCGGAAACGATGTAGGGTATCTACCAGATGGAACACCCCTCAACACAGCCGGCAACTGCCTGAACCACCCAGAGACCATTCAGCCCGATCGACACACCCCTGGGTCACCGCTTCCACGTGCACACTTCCACAACGATGTCGGCTACTTGCCCGATGGAACCCCGCTCAACAAAGCTGGCAATGCCATCAACCATCCTGAAAACATCCAGCCAGACCTTCATGTACCGGGCTCGCCGCTTCCGGCGTCTGGGTACTCTGCAGACGTCGGCTATTTCGTGGACGGAACACCTGTGGAGACTGCTGGTAACAATTCTGTTCCACGATGACTGGCCCAGACCTTCTGCTGGCACTTGGTCGCGGCATTTATCGATTTCTCTAACTGATGGCGTGGAGCTGGCCTGGCCTTTTATCCGATGCTGGGCCATTTGACAATGCGCTGGTGGCGCGTGCCAGCCACACCGTCCTGCCGTGCTCCGCCTGTTTGTTTTTCGAATTTTCCTGAACTCAGTAGATGTGTTTCTATATGAATATGTACATAAGAATACACAGGTGTGTACATATGTGTGTGTGTACTTGTATATGTGCATTGATCCTTAGTTACATTTATCTACATATCTATACTTATCTTTGTTGTCTTTGGCATCGTTTCACATGTGGATTTTCCCGCGGTGTATTCCTGCGGCGCCTCCTTCCTGCACATTTGGACATGAAGGTTCACTGCGTGTCACGCGCACACACACACACACGCGCATATATATATATATAGATAAATAGATAGATAGATAGATAGATAGAAATAGATATAGATACATATACAGATATACACATACACACACATACACTTAGAGCATATACGTACGTGTATATATATATATACACGTACATACATACATGCATGCATACATACATACATACATACATACATATATATATACATACTTATATTTATATTTATATCTATTTATATACGCACGTGTGTATGCGTGCCTCAATAACCTAGGTAAGAAGGTATGTAGGTAGGCAGGTAAGTGGGTAGGGAGGCAGGCAGCAGATAGGTCAGGTAGGTATGTAGGTAAGCGAAAGTCCGTTGAAACGGGTAGTCAGTCAGTCTGTCTGTCTGTCTGTCAGTCAGTGAGCGAGTGAGTGTTTGAGAAAGTCAGTAAGTGGGCAGGTGGGAAGCAAGGAAGGATGCGTGTATGCATGTTTGTAGGCAGGTGTGTAGTTCGGTAGGCATGTAGGCGTGTGGGTTGGTACGCATGTGTGTGCAGGCAAACATGCATGCCGGTAAGCATGCAAGTATGTGCATGAGTTTGCTTGCCTGTAGGTATGTCAGTCGGTTGGTAGGGAGGTAGAGTCTGATAGGTATGTGCGTATGTTCACGCATGTGTATGTGCACAGGCACATGCACGAATCTACAGATCAGGTGGTTCGTCATAGCAGTACCATGCTGCATAAGCTAAGCCAGGAATCAGGATCCAGAAACAGGTGAAGTGAACATTCAGCATAAGCAACGGGCACAAAGCAAATCATCGACCTTCTAGAAGGAGGCGTCTTCGACGAAGACGAGACTAGTGATCCATTCTGCAAGCAAGCATGACCCACCTGGCCGGCTGGCAGCTATTGGGCAGAAAATGCCGCGGTGACACGCTTCCAACATGATGGAACTCCCGTCATCACCTGTGCAGCTTGCGCGCATTGCTACATGCACGACCTGTCACTACCTGCAGCTGAGACATGCCCAGTCCTGAATCTAAGAACGACACGAAATCTGCGAGGGTTCGCCTCATCGCACCGTATATAAGCCTGTATTTTGCACTCCATGTCGATGCTGAAGAGCCATTTGGTGCCGCTATGCTTACCCTTCTTAAAGCGCTGGCTTCGGCTGCTGCCGCCGCAGGTGCCAGCCCCAATCTGACATGTCAAGCCCTTGACTCTGCCCTGGCACCGGGTTCGGCTTCGCGGAAGGTGTTGAACAAGGCCGCCGACATGAGCCGTCGGCGCAGGGCTTTGAGCAGCAAGAACTGTTTCTGCACGACCAGCACGTATGGCTCGACGGCTGCATGATGAGCCTCCGTCATGGACGTGGGCGGCATTGCAGAGCAGCACCGTGTGGGCGCTAGCTTCCGCAAACTCTATGCTAAGCATTGCTTGTCTTATTGTGGCTCTGCCAGTCCAGAAATTCCACTGGCACCTCGAAATAAGACTCGACTCTTTCAGCATCCGATGGGACTTCGGTTGCCTTCCATTCGAGCATTGGGCTCAGGTAAGCCTGCGGCTCCCAGCGGCCCAGCGTCTCCAGCAGGTAGGAAGCGGTGCCATGTCGCCCCTGCAGGCTTGGCTTGCCTGCACTTCGCGTGCGGAGGAGTCTGTGGCCCATGGACTCGGCAGGGTGGCGAAATCCTGTGCTCGCAACCCATGGAAGTGTGTTGCAGTGACCATCGTGGGCTGCCTGCTTTGTGCGTTGGGGGTTCTGCGCTTCACGGCTGTGAGCGAAGCTCGTGATCTTTGGGTGGATCAAGGATCACAGGTCATGAAGGACTTGGAGTGGACAGAGAAGTACTTCACCACCGCCGGCCGCGTGAATCGCGTCTTGGTCACGGCGAAGGATGGTGGGAACATTCTGCGACCGGAGACGATGGCCGAAATCTTCCGCATGGCTGATGATGTGAAAGCACTCTCTGATGCTGATGGAAAGAGCTTTGCCGATGTGTGCCTCCGGGTTTCCTCCGGTTGCTTGAATGCTGGGATCCGCCGCTACTTTGGGACCGGTACCAGTGCCGACTTCAATCAGACGGTCCAGAGCCAAGCCGATATCTTGGTTGCCGTGAACAAGGCCAACTTCCCAGACGG